TCACGCCCTTGTACTTCATTGGCCGTTATAAACCAAACCCTAGCACTTCATTGGTCGTCATAAAAGGCACACCTTTGTACTTCTTTGGTCGTCATAAATCACACCCTTGTACTTCATTGGCCGTTATAAACCAAACCCTAGCACCAGTAGCGTAGCGAGGGGGGGGGGCACGGGGGGCACGTGCCCCCCAAAAATTTTTGAAAAAAATTTTTTTTGAAAAAAGAATAACAACAAAAAAACATATTAAGCCGAAACGAAAGAGGAAAATAAATTATTACAACCTAAGATTTAAGAATGGTTAATAAAGTAATGTTTGTTTCTTACATTTTTGTTTCAGCGTTTATTTGTTTTATTGGGGAGGAGTAATTTTTTTAAAATTTTGGATCAATGCCCCCCCTCCCCCACCTCCTAGGTCCTCGCTACGCCCCTGCCTAGCACTTCATTGGTCGTCATAAAAGGCATACCTTTGAACTTCATTGGTCGTCATAAATCACACCCTTGTACTTCATTGGCCGTTATAAACCAAACCACTTCATTGGTCGTCATAAAAAGCATGGTCGTCATAAATCACACCCTCGTACTTCATTGGCCGTTATAAACCAAAACCTAGCACTTAATTGGTCGTCATAAAAGGTACACCTTTGTACTTCATTGGTCGTCATAAAAGGCACACCCTTGCACTTCATTGGTGGTCAGAAACCACTAGCTTTAATTTATTAATTTTTGGATAAATCACATACATGTTGACGTCATAAATATTATCTTTAAGCTGATTGGCTTTTCCAGTACGTCACTCGACTTTGTATGAACTTATGAGAGGACGTAATAAATTGACGTACTTTTTTCTTTGCTCCTAATTGCGTTTATATTCATTGATGCTTTGAGGATCAAATGCATAGTTAATGAGAAGTATCAAAACAATCATGGTAAAAAAGGAGACCAATAAAAGCTGTTTATTTTTGTTAGTTATGCTCTTCAGTCAAGCTATATAAGATAGGCCCTCAATTCTTAAAAGCACTTTAAATTATCGATACGACTTACCGACTTCAAAGGTCAAAATGAAAAGATTCAGACGCTGTCGTAACATTCAAAATGGAAACACCAAAGCCGAAAAAACCTCTTCGCCTACTGAAAATCCTGACAAACCTAAAGAAGGTTTGTCAAACTTTCAAAATCCTCACAGATTCCAGGGCCCAAAAGCAGTGAAAGTATTCTCTGAATGTACTCCAGGACTTGGCAGACGAATTCCAGAGCTTTACAGTGGAAAAGACGCACTTGTCGAAGTAAAATACGCTAGTGACTATGTGCGACGAGTCGAGTGGCTGTATTCCACAGCGAATGATGTAAAAAAACAAAAAGAAAAGAGTTTTCAATCAAGCAAATAATACAAGACAGTATCAAGAAGAAAAGTTAAAAAAAGCTTGAAGTTAAAAAAGGATGCCCGGTATTAATTTTTGAAGAAAAAAAACTTTTTGCAGGGAAAATCAAAAAATTGTAATATTTTAAAAAACGCAGCTTTAGTTGTAACTTTCGTTTTTGCTAGCTGACTGGATCAAGTTACTGAACGACACCAAAGCTAAAAATACTACGTATATTTTTTTAATCTAAGCGAAAATTTGTTTGTCTAAAACGAGATTAGGGGAAAATATCGCTTTATTCGTAAGATTTATAGAATATATATCTGAGATATATATGTATATATATGACATACCTCGATATTTTTTATTATTATGAATTGAAGATATGCTATATTGATAAATGAAATAAAAAATTCACATAAAAAAGCAATTTACAAGTCAATAAAAAACTTTTCAAGGCGGCAGAAAACTGCAAAATTTAACATGTAATGTGGTCGATTTTATTTGGCCAATGCATCTAAAACAAAGAATATAAAGTAGCAATATTGTACAACACCTGGAAAAAGACAAAAGAACATTACAATCTGGGCATTTTCTAGCGAAGTCATTGAACCCTGTTCATTTTATTCAAAAGTTGTTTTTTGCCAATTTGAGCAAAACAAGAAAACAAGAAGAGTCTAAACTTCGTTAAATTAAATTAAACGTCTCAATTTGAGGTCTAGAACGTCGAAAATTAAAATTAAAGTTAAATTCCTTTCAAACAATTTATCATTTCTGCCGACTACATTTAGGGTACTTAATTAAAAAATCGATTTAAAAAAATGGACTAACGATGCTACTCTGACGAGCTGATATGTCTGTATTTCAAACATTTTATAAGCTAGTGTTTATCCTACAACATATACGGCATTTGGTGGCTACTATATTTGCTTTTCTAAGTTCTCAAAGTAAAAATATGAAAATTTTGGCAATATTCTTTGTGTCATTGCTGTTTTGTCCCACTCCCACGACTATGACTCTTAGCCTTAAGAAAAAGGATTGTTTTAATGTGACGTCATAATGAAATGGGCAATTTAAGTTGAGACGTAGTTCCTGGTCCAATCGCCCAAAAGATCGCTAAAATCTTGCCACAACTTATTCCCAGGATTTATTCTCCACCTTCAACAATCAGATACTAGTGAACAGAAAATCCTGCTATGAAGAAAAAAAAAGTCTGTCGAAGCAGTTTTTAATCTGGACCCGTTTTTCGTCCGAATTACATCACACTTATAACAGCTCTATTAACAAGTGATTGTTGCTAGGCAGCAGATGACGTAGTATGCCAGTCGGGAATCCCACAGGAAGCCCACCTTATTTAATTGATGAAAACTTTAAATTTTAAATGAATATATTAATTGGTTTACAAATAAATATGTAAATTATTGAAATTAGTCTGCTTAAAAGCATAAACGAGTTTAGAGCATGCCAAAAGTTATTTTCACTGCCTGGGGTATATACAGCTATTGCAAAAAAAATTGTTACATACCAAGCCAGAAATGCACTATCAACAAAGTGAATGCAGTCGGCTAAAGGTGACAACATTATGAGTTTTTCCAACATGCTCATAAATATAATACATTTCAAGCTTAGTACGCAACATGGAATTGAACATGAAACAAAACCTTTTTTTGAAATAGCTGTATATGTAATTTCATACCCTTAAAATCTTTATAGCCATTGTTATTGGATAAAAATGAATGAGAATGGATGCCAAAACCTTCAAAATAAAGTAAATGAATGAATAATAATGGAAAAGTAGAAGTATGAAAATAATAAAGTATGAGTTTTCCAATAACAATAACACTTTATCAATAAACTAGTAAAACTTATAGCTGTAAGTTATAGAGTGCAAACAATATAACCGTGAAACTTTGGTAATACTAAATAGCACAATTTCATGCAAATTCCATTGTATTCTATTGTTTAATTAGCACCATTTTGTATTATTTAGTAAATAGTGTTTCACGGATTAATTGTTTGCACTCTAAGATGAATAAGATATTGGATAAAAATTTTAAAAAATCAATCTCAAAAATTGAAAAAGGAAGTAAAATAAAGAGTGCAAAAAAAAAAAAAATCTATGAAATAGCACAAAAACTAAATAGCAGTAAACACTAACCGTCTTGTATTTCTTTTGTTTTTAACTGTTTCATTGGTGCTATTTACTAATTAGTTAGTACTATTTCATGGAGATATGGTTTGCACTCAAAAGGGAACGACAAATATCCATGAGTCTTCCAAAAGTAAATGAATAAAACCTTTAATTTATTTTATCAATTTATTATTAAATTCAAAACCAGTTTAAAAACAATTTTAGTCATACAGCACAAGTTAGAAATTATCATCAAGTCACTAACAAAAACATTTTGAACTTAAGATTTTTTTGTACAAATAAACTTACACATGCAATTACATGTTACTATGCTATTCTTGGTTTTCACGTGATGTCATCAAAAAAATAAAATCCAAAGTATTCACCCCACAAAACTGTTTGTCAATATTTTGTTCATAGCATTATAAGACAAGTCTTACCAAAATAATTTTGTATTATCAATGTTTGGTTATAGACTTATTGCGAGTCCAATTCTGTCACGCATTTCTGTCACACAATTCTGTCACGCATTTTCAAAGCATTAGAAATAGGGAAATTGGATGGAAATAATACGTCTTTAACTTAGTAGATGATTGGTAACTTTATTTTGATGATTTTTGTTTTTTGAAAATTTGAAATGTTTGCAATGTAAACATAATTTTTAGCCTTTGTGATTTGGCCGCCATATTAGTGTCCCTCAATGAGACACAAAAATGGCGGACCCATACATTTCAACTAAATTATGGGCATAATCAATCACTTATATCTTTGTATCTAAAACTTCGTTTAGCTAGAATTTTGGCTGAGATAAATAGTTCTGGCTACTCTTTCAGCCTGTAGAAGTTTTGTTTTATGTAAATCCTGGCAAAATGTTTGATGACGTAGGTAAAAACCAAGAATTTTCCCATGATATTATCAAGATTTTATTATAGATATCCATCATATAGGAAGTTAGGTGATATCTATTCAAAGCTAAGACCACAATGCACCATATCTACTATCTCAGAAAATGTTTATGATAACCTAAAATCTGACAACAATAAACTATTTTAAGAAGTTAAATGCTAGCCAGCATAAACTAACAATGTGTAGTTCCAAAAATTATCCATACCCCCCTCAAGGAGGAATTTTTTTAAGACACCCCCCTACCCCCCAGAAATTCCAATTTTCTTCCATACAAACTCTGTAATTTTTGTCCTTTCTCTGACCCCCCTACTCTTCGGAAATTCCAAATTCCTCTGTGGGGTGGGTATGGATGATTTCTGGAACCACACAATAACCTGAAATATTATCTAACTTTATAAAATAACTGTTATGAATGTTGCATTCTGATTGGTTGTGAGCATGTGCTTTATGAGAGCACATTGAACGTACTTTCCGTTGCATCATTCCTATCTAAAATAATGGTTATTGCAATTTGCATTTTATGAAAGAAATAAAAAACTTGCTTGCTGTGCTGTGTGCAGTCATAAAGCACGCAGGCGTTGGCAGAACACTCAAGAAGTGTCCAGAAGCACTTCCCTATGCGTTGTGCTTCTCCTAACACTTCTCTTGTGTTCTGCCAACGCCTGTGTGCTTTATAACTGCACACAGCACTTGCGCCCATTTTTTATTTCTTCATTATGATCAAAGGGAATACAAAGCATTACTTAAATTATATATATTACATATAAACCCTGCTTAATAATGATGATATGGTTATAGCACTTCTCATTCACGTTTGAAATCGGAAAATTTTCTTTTGAAACAAAATAGGGTTTAGTTGGAAATTGCCAAAGTGTTTCAATAATACATCATCAGATAACACGTCCTTTTCAATTATTCAAGGCCACATGCCTATGATATGTCATGTAATTGCCTTGATTGATGTCCACCAAAACCTACAGTATGTTGTTGAGATGGCAAATTGCAAGATTTCAAACATGTTATTGAGAAGCACTGTACATATAAGGGTATAAAAATAACATAAGATGTTCTAAACAATTAAAGGTGATGTATCATTTGAAGGTGGTGATTCTCCCAGGCTTGTGGAATCTATACTGCTAGTGATCTCTTCCTGGTTTGTAATTTCTTGCCCAAGAGAAATTTGCTCTACAGAGACAGTCTGTTCTGCATCTGAAGTCTCTGTCTGATTAGATGAAACATCTTCACTTACCTCGGTAGAAGGAAATGGAGTTATCGAGTTGGTGTAAGGGGGAGGACTGTCATTTGTATCGCAACAATCAGAGATTGCAACTGCAAAGTCATATGAAGGTGGAGGGGAAGATGGTTCCTGCAAGTCAGCTTCATGGCAATGATTGCGGCGGGCATGACGGCGTCTCCGCCTCCTACTTGCCCGAGATCTTGTTTTTCTCCTAAATCTATCAATGATAAAAACTACCAAAGCAATAGCAACTGCTGAGCCAGTAATAGAGACCAGTATGATGATGTAGTTTCTTACTTTACTGGTGGTAATGGACTTGCTCTGGTCTTTGACACAGTTAACTTCATCTGATCTATCACCACAGTCATCGGTGCCATCGCATTTCCATTGGCACTGAATATAGTTCCCGTTATTACACCTAAATAACAACTCATTGGATGTTTCAGTACACTTATCATACATGTTTTTGGGATCTACTGACATGTAGGTTGCAGAAAAACCGTCTCCAGCTGATAAGATACTACGATGTAGCTTTACCACCATGCTGTTTCCTGTCGAACGCATTGAAACAGGCACTTTATCTTCCTTCCCACAAAACTTCCCAAGACTACGTGATGCTATATCTGGCCCATTGACGATCTCTACATAGTCGTTGGCACATTTATTGCCAAGATTCGATGTTCTGATGTCAAATGCACCAAACACAATGGAAATAATCTTTCCCTTATCAACCTCAATGGTCCAAATACATTCTTCAGTGTCTTTAAGATTAGGAAGATTAGGATATCCAGGTGAAGTGAAGCTTGCCATTCCTCCCCTTAGAAGTCCTCCACAGTGGGGCTCAGTTTCATAAAATGCGTGGAACCCTGATGACAACGTAGGTTTAAATGACTGAAATTCAACCAGCATTTCATTCCCAGTAGAGCGGATTTCTTTAGGCGGCACTCTCTTGGCACAGAAGTGGCCAATGAGTTGTGAAGTGGCATTAATCCCATCAACAGCTCTGATGTAATCCAGATTACACTTTGAGGACGGATCCAGAGTAAAGTCCAGGAAATAAAACTTGATGACCTTATCCGTGGGTACAAGAATTCTCCATGTGCATTTCTTCAAGGCAGGGTAAGGCCCTGGATAACCAGGACTGCTGATTTCTCCCTTCAAACCAGTCAAAAATTCCCCACATGGCTCTCTCTTATACATAGCATGAAAAAGCCCCACTTTACTAGTAAAGGGATCTGACTTGAAATTAACAGTCAAAGTATTAGAACTAGACTTTATAGTACCTCTGGGATACTTTTCGCGACTATTACAAAATTTCCCCAAGCTCCTTGTTCCATCGATAATTTCAACAAAATCTCTGTCACACACTGATGGTGAGCTCCCTTGCTCGACCTCGAAAATTATAAAAGTCAATAGTATCTTGTCGTACTCTGGGACCTGGATTTTCCAGCTACAAGTCATTGAATCTGGGTATCTGTTTGAGTAATTTGGGCTGTTGATGACCCCTGGAGATTTGGTCAGACGATAATCACAGCTTGTTGAGTCGCTTAAGACGATTTCCAAGGTGAAGCCAACGAAAATCACAAAAATAAAACAAACAGTCTTTCTAAGAAATTGATTTCTTCTCGTAAAATGCGTTAAAATAGTCTGAAACGATGACAAAACATCCAAAGACAAGTCAAGTAACATTTCAATGATCCAAACAGTTTCCCAGGATGAATATTTCAAGGCTTTTTGGAGCTTGATTCATTGAAGTGAAATGTTCCTAAAACATGGCGGAGATTCGTCTCTTTGAAGTCGAAGAAATCTTTCCAGTTTTCAGCTTTGGAAGTAGAAATAACTTGTGTGATCTCTTAAATGGCTCTCTGACTGTTATTTTCCTCTCCTGGGTGTAGTATTAGCCGAATTAAGGCGTAATATTCCACGAATATAAACCAGCCAAAGAGAAAACAAAACCCTAGTGTTGTAATATCAGCATAAATTATATATGGAAATTATGTTAATCATTCACAATGACGTAATTTTAACAAAACTCAAACGTTTCGCTTGGGTTACCTTTGGTGCCAAAGAAAAATATAATTTATATATATATATACTAAGAATTGGATATACTCTATGCTGTAAAGTTTAAATAATGTGTTTTAAAGCAAATTATGCATGAAGATTATTATAATCCGACACACAGTGACGTATAGAAAAAATTATAACTAAAAACATCTGCACCAATGAAATGACGATGAGATGGAAGTGAAAAGAAAAGAAAAGATATTTATATTTATAAAGGAGTCAAAATAAAACATAGATGATGTAAAATATAGAGAGGTTTTGGTTGTATTTGTCTATTTTGTTTGTTTGTCTTTTATCGTTCGATTTTTTTATAATGCCTTGAAATCCAAGACCGTATCGTCGAAGTATTTCATCTTCCTTTGTTGTTGTTGTTGTTGTTGTTGTTGTTGTTGTTTTCTCAGTTTCATTTTACGAAAACAGATACTTGGGCTTCCTGTGGCGTTCATAGTTTAGCCTTAGGAGGGGTGGGGGTGGGAAGGAATGACCTCAAGGGGAATTGACAAAATTCAATGCCCCCACTGTACTGTAAGACGGAAAATACAATAACCATATGTGCTAAGAGTGAAAATTTGACTTTCATCATTTGTCCAGGGGTGGGGAAATTGAATTTAAATTCCCCTATGGTCACCCCTTCATCACTATACTCCCCACCCTCCCCCCTTCCTCCCATACCGGAGATTTTAACCATCAAGGTCAAAAGATGGCGGATCAGGTTATCTCTAATCAAGATCACGAAACAAAAAGACCTTTAGATGTCAACAAATGCAGCAAAGGATGGAGAAATCAAAGAGAATACTCCTATTGGATACCTGATGTAGACATCGAGGGAGAAATCCCAAAGGATTTGTATGGAACTCTCTTCAGAAATGGTCCTGGGTTGAATGAAGTTTATGGTACAAAACTAAAACATCGTAAGTTAAGCTTATTTATTTCCATAATCGCTAATTTCACTCGCAATTACGTCAGAGTCGGCTTAAAGGTATCAAAGATACACTTCGAAGAAAATCGAAAATTCATGGTCATTCAATATGACTTTCTTAATAACCCCGAAACAGCCCGTAAAAAACGCACGTCATACGTTATTTAAGTCACTCGAAAAATTCCTGACCTTCAACAATTTTGAGCAAGGTACTAGCTTGAACTAAGCAGAAAAACTTCTCGAATCAAAATATTTGGAGAAATGTCACAAATTATAACAAAAAATCCTTTATATGTTTTCGGAAAAGCGAAAATCACTATTATTGACGTCATTCGGTCATTCGGTCAGTCATTCATTTATTAATTTATTAATTCATTTAATTTATTCGTTCATTCATTCAATTCATTCATTCATTCAATTTAATTATTTAATCATTCATTTTCTTATTCCATTTTGTATTGCCTCATGAGAATAATAAGACAATTAGTGCTAATTTTAAAAATGAACAAAAGAAATAGGTGTGCAAGAAATTATGGTACTAGTAGTTAATGACGCCAAAATAAGTCCTTTTGTAACTGGCTCTTTTTTTATCATAGCAATTGACGGAGATGGCATGGTCTGTGCAGTAACTTTCCAAAACGGCCGCGTACATTTCAAGTCCAAATTTGTCTTAACCAAGCACAGACAGGAAGAGACTGACAAGCATAGTTTTCTTTATCCTGGGCAAATGGGTACCATGGCAACAGGTGCAGTTAGCGGAACAGTGGCATTACTGCGGAGCCTTATGAAGGGAGCATTACCAACAATACAATTTAGGAATCCTTCAAATACTAACTCCTTTTACTGGGGTGGAAAGGTAAGTATTTCTTCCTTCCTTCCTTACATTTAATTATTTTAAAGTTATCTATAGATCTAATACAGGGTTCGTACGGGTTTTGGAAAGTCTTGGAAAGTTTTGAAAAATTTCTTTTTTGACCACTTGGCTATGAAAAAGTTATAATTTTTTTCTGTTGGTTGCCCAGGTCCTACCTTGTAAAGAACTCTTTTCGTTGTATTAATTAAAAATGCTGATGTTTATTTTTTCCTGCTGCAAATCAATGCCCGCTGGCACTTTTGGTCAGAAGAGTGTCATATTTTATATTGGTAATTGTATGTTGAATGTTTTTTCATCCATGAATTTCACTTCATTTTTTTGCTTATGTGGTTTTGGAAATTTTAGTTGATAGACTTTGAGAAACTTTTGGAAAACTTTTGGAAATTTTCACTGAGGAATGTGTACAAACCCTGCTAATGATAATTAGCAGTTATCAGAGATACACTATATTGCCTTCCAACAATTGTTTCAAGTCAAGGCATTTGGTCTAATACCCCCAGAAATTCCTTCCAATTTTCTTCTATACAAACTCTGTAATTTTGTTCTTTCTGTGACCCCCCTACCCCTTGGACATTCCAAATTGCTCTGTGGGGAGGGGAGGGGGGATATGGATAATTTCTAGAATTACACATTAGCTGATTAGTCAGTATATTCTCTCATTAATATTAGCCATGCTAACTTGAAATCTCATAATTTGGAAGATAGTGTTAAGAAAAAAATATTTTTTCGAGGCTGATTTATTTACTGTCTCTGCCAAAATCTGAAAGTTATATTTTAGTTTTTGTTTTTATTTTTTACAGCTTTTAACATGTTACGAGACAAGTATGCCATATTGTTTAGACCCATATACATTAGAGACTTTAGGACCAGATGACTTATGTGGTGCCTTGAAATTAAAAGCTCTTGCGGCTCATTTTAGGATTGATGCAGAAAACCAGGTAAAAGCTTGATAAATAACAATTTATCAAATTATATGAAGCAACTTATTGAAAAAATTCTGAGTCCTGGACGGGATTTGAACCCATGTCCTGGCGATTCTGGTGCCATACTCTAACCACTGAGCTACCAATTCTCATATGAAACTTCAAGGACACATTAGGGGGTTTATTGGCCATATATATCTTTCCTATCGGGCTGATAAACCAACCTAATGTACATCCTAGGGGACGGGTAATTGAAAAGCAAAAATGTCTTTCTGCTGGCCACTTTTGGCCACTCAGAAAAATGTAGCATTTTCGATTGGCCACTTTTGGCCCCTCTACAGTAGTAAATTAGGGTTAATCAATTGTTGAACAATCTAGGTTTGAAGAATGATAAAATTTCAGCCATGTAAATGTAGAGGAATGAATACAAGTAAAATGTAAAAAACAAGCAATTGAAATTATGAGTAAATATAACAAGTAATTGAAAAATTAATGAAAAATTTGAAAAATGAATGAGTGAATGAATGAGATGGTATATAAGAGATATCAATGTATAGTTTGTAGTAAGAACTAAGGACTATCGGTTCTTTTAGCTTCTTGTTTGCATCAGCTTGCGACCTGGGTTTCGTCATGCTAAACCATGCCTTGCGATCTACGAGTTTACCCCATCATGGCAGCTACATCAGAGACAGATACACCACATTCCAGGCTTAAATTATGCACATGATTTTCTCTTGCTTGAAGACTACTATATTTTCCACATGACCCCTTTTGTAAAGTCAACATTGCCAATGGTTTTGAAGATTCTTGCCGGATGGTCATCCCCTGGAGACCACATGAGGTATTATCCTGATCTACCTTCAAGATTTGTGATAATACCTCGTAAAACGGATAAATATGACAAAGAAGTGATTATGGTAGACACAGATCCTTGTCATGTGAGTTAAGTGTTAAGCATTTGCTCTGTTTATATTATGTGAGATGTTATCCACTATCCCATCTGTTACCCTATTTGTCCATCAATCGACCATCCATGCCATCCGTCCATCCATCTGCCCGTCCATCTATCCATCCGTCCATCCATCCATCCATCCATCCATCCCATCCATCTTCCCATTCTTCCTCTCATTCTTTCTCCAATTTATTACTATCCAATCGTCATTTATTCAAGTGCCCCTGCTATATTTAAACAACATTGATTCATGGCGTGGAAGTATAAATGGTAGTATAGGCCTGATTACACATCACAATATAAGTAATATTAAGTATTGATATAAACCGCATTCATTTTATTGAGCTGAATTCTTTTACTGATTTAGATCTTTCACTTTGGCACAGCCCAAAAGGAGGGCAACTCTATAACTTTTACTGCAGTATGCTTGGGCACCAACTTTGACATGACATTTGACCACAAGATATGGCTCAGCAATGCATCAGTTTCTCCTGGGCGAGTCTACAATTTTCATATTGACCTCACAAGTAAAAAGTGCACCAGAGTTTTAGCTGATCATGCAAGTGTTGAGTTTCCAAATACACATCCCTATCGACATGGTGTGCTTGGCACAAGGTTTAACTACCTAATGGCTAATGACAGGCCTGGTCAAAACTTGCCTTACAGAGATATCGTGAAGGTACAAGTATTGAAAATACTCTGCTAAAAATGGTACATCAGTTACAACAGTTTTTATTTCCACAAAACATATACATAGATAAATTGAATGAGTTATAAATATTGTGGGGGTGCAAGAGAATAGCCTCAGAGGTTAAACAAGCTCTTACACCCTTAAAACGAAAGTAACATTTACATGAGTGTAAGATGGAAGGAATCATAGTTAAACAACTAGAAATTTAATAAAATAAACGTTCAGGGGAAAAAATCAGAAGTTTGAAACAAGAGGCCATTAAAGGTCTTGTTACACTGTGCAATTTTCACAGCAACTTGTTGCGAGACAACTTGCTGGAGAATTGCGCATTGTATCAGGTTTTCTGGCAATTTCTTTTGTAGTTGAGCGTAGCGTTGCACGAAGTAGAACTCGGATCTAATTTTCGCAACAGTTTGCAGCAGCTGGCAACGCCATAGTGTATCACCCCTCCAGCAACTTTTTCTCAATTTCTCATTTCTCATTTCTTTCCTGAGAGCAAAAAATTGCAAATTGCTGAGATTGCGTTGCAGTGTAACACCTCACCTCGGCAACTTGTAACGCTACATTGTCATGCATTGCGAGACAAGTTGCTGAAAAAAGTTGCACAGTGTAACAGGACCTCAAAGACAATTTCTCGTGCAGGTTTTTTTCCCCACAAAATAAACTGTTTTTTACAAGACTATGACGTCATTTTTTCATACATACCATATGACGTAATATTCTGGTTTCCTTTTAGTTTGATGCCAAGCATAAAAGGCGTCAAGTATGGTATTCTTACGGCGTCATCGGAGAACCCGTCTTCGTACCTCGACTCGGATACGACTCTTCGAGAACTGGTGACGAAGACGACGGTTACGTCATCGTTCAACTCTACGTACCAAAGCGTGACGTCACAGAGTTTTGCGTCTTAGACGCCAAGGATGTTGGGAAAGGCCCTTTGGCACGTCTTAAGTTAAAGCACCATATTCCGTACGGTTTCCATGGTACCTTTACGCCGGAAGTTTTTTTGTCGTCCCCTATCACAAAGTCTAAGCTATAAAGGCCTTGCCTCATCACGTGACGGCAGCCATGACAGGACTGTAGTTTTGATTTCTTAAAATTCAACGATGATAAGACTATTGCTTTTAGTAGGTACGATGAAACAGTTTGCTAAGGTATGTCTTAGAGGTATCAAAATTGGTTGTGTCGAGATATCTCCAACTTCCAGCTCTCCAACTCTCCAAATCTTGGCGTGTTGTTTGATTCCTGTCTAAATAGAGTGAGCACATTATATTTATAACATCAGGCGTATTAGGATGTACTTATCTAGGAAAAGTACTGAGACCTCAGTGCATGCTTTTATTTCTAGCAGACTAGACTATGACAATAGCCTACTGTTTGGTCCGCTCCCACAATATCAGATTCAAAAGCCTCAGCGAGTCCAGAACGCTTCTGCTCGTTTTATCTTTTCAATGCCTAAATACTGTCATGTCACTCCTCTTTGGTTTACACTGGCTGCCAGTGAAAAAATGAATTGTTTTTAAGATCTTATTGTTGGTTTTTAAGGTACTCCACCAGTTGGCACCGAGTTACTTAATTGATCTTATCTCTGATGCCCTCTTCAATATACGCTCAATAGCGCAGCGCACTGATTCTAAAAATAGCTTAAAGATTCGGACAAACATTGCATTCTGTTTAACCGCTACGAGGATTATACGAACCGATTTTATTATTTTTACTTAAAGTTACAATAATAACCCATGTAAACTAAGATCAACTGCGAACGGCTGTGAAAATTATCTGCTGAAAGTAAACTTGTAAGTTTGTTTGTCCGAATTTCGCCTTTGTCTTCGTTTTTATGACGTCACGGTTGGGCTGCGCTATTGAGGAATCGTTGTCCGGTTGAGGAAACATAGAACATAGAAGCTGAGACCGAAATGGCACATGGGAAGTACGTTAATTAGATGCATGCTGTGACCGGGGACCCGTGGCATCATCCACTGTTTTTGATACTCGTTTGGCATTCTAAACCGACTGCATGGATGGCGCAAGTGAATAAATTATAATATAATTATGTCATTTCCCATGTGCCATTTCGGTCTCAGCTTTTATGTTCTATGCTTCTGAACCCGACAACGATTCTTCAATTGAGTGTATAATCTTATATATATAATCTTATAATACGAATAGAAATATGGCGACCAATTTGAATAACTATTGTTCTGCACTCACTAGCGACTGACTCATAGCTCCTCATACATGAGAAAACGCTTTTATATAATTTCGATTCGGTGTATAGGCTAGAGGCTTGAAGAAAGTATTACATTTTAGTCTCCTTTTAAATCCACAGGGAACCCAATTTTATAAAATTTAATTCTCAAATGAATCTGTAATAGTCAAAATTGCTGTTATTGATAATTATTATTCCTTGTAGGTTAATTAAAGCAAGGATCATAAAACGCATAAATCGCCGGTGTTTTTAATATAAACTACTCGCTTAAAGCAGATTTTTCTTTAATGATTTGGATTGCGCTTCCTTGGTTTTGATTGGTTGACATACTTCAGTGTCTCCGTTTCTTTGTATCCTTTCATATTAAAAAGGCGACAGAGGATGTCCCTCGAAAAAAAGTGAATGAAAACGTTTAAAAGGGCCATAATGGAAACTACTGGGTTACCAGTAATGTATGACTATCCTCGTAAAATAAATTTTTTTTTTGATTTTATTATTATTATCATCATTATTATTATTATTATTATTA